GTTACTCTGTGAAACCATGACAGATTACTTATTGTATTGGAGGAACCAGATGGTCTTTAACGTCTTTGCCATGACACTGGAGTAATCGGAAAGAATCAGGTGTTCCTCAACTTCTTTTGAGTAGTATGGTCAACATCCCTGTCCAATCTAACTTATAAATGATGTTTGACACCAAGGTCTATTAAATACAGCAGAAAACTACGCTAAGGAGCAAACATAAACCTATTTTATTGTCACGCACATTAACCCTGTCGTCTCAATATCCCATATCCCACTTTTGCCGTATCTCCAGGAACTTTTATATATTCAATATCCGTCACTCTCATCTCTTAGATTATAGTGACAATGTATCAAGAAACAGTAAATGGAACTTGGGAATCAAAATGTTAAACAATTTCTTTTTGATTTTTGCCACTGGTTCTTTTGATAATATATTACGGAAACATAGAGACCATCTGTGGTGTCTACTTGCCCAAAGGATACATACTGGTTGGTACCTCTATTCACACAAGACATAACATGTGCCTGTTTTCAACACTACTTTGGATATGTCAAACTTGGCGGACATGTGTAAACTGTTTCTGATCAAAGCTTTCAGACATGGTGACTCGTAAATATTCTCAGAATTTGAACTCGGATAAGGATGCAATGTGTATCTCGATCCCTGCTAGAAATATTTGACAGCTGAGACAAATATTTTTTATCAAATGAAAACCCAATTGCAAAAAGCAATTATTTATGATGAAATATATAAGGGTATGTGTCAATAATTTGCAATGAGAGCATGCCAATGCTAGTGCCTACATTGTGATACATGAGCACAAACACACGGAAACCATTTCCCCTACAACAATTTCTCTTTAGCAGCCATCATAGCTGGAATATTGCTTTGTTTGGTGCTAAACAAACAAACAATCCTTTTCAAAATATCATCGATAATACAAGCCAACATGAATATGTATATTGCAACAAAATATACACAAAGAACACATCTTATTTCGAGCAATGTATTTCAACTGTTCCGGCTCAATAATAATTCAAAACAATCCACCAATATCTCCCAAATCAATCAGAAATAAATCAATGATTGAGTAAAAAAAAAATTCAACCATTCTAAACATACAGGAATTTAACTATTAAGTTCATTTATCTATTCAGGATTATAACACAGGAATTAATTGAGCAATTTCTTAATATTTTAATTATTCTAAACATACAGGAATTTAACACGTAATTCCTTCATATTTAAATTATACTAAACATACAGAAATTAAACTCGTAATTCCATCATTCCATTTAATGTTTAACTATTCTAACTGTATAGGAATGTACATGCTGTACCTTGTTGTTGAAACTGGTACAACGTCACCCTCAGCTTACTGAATCAGTTTTGACCGATAAAACAGCTTCCAAAACGCAACTTTAAAAGTCAAACCTGAATAGTATTGTCATACCCGTATAGTATAGTCAAAATTGAAAAGTATTATCACACCTGTAAAGTATTGTCACACCTTTACAGTATTGTCATACCTGTAAAGTATTGTCATACCTGAATAGTATTGTCATACCTGTAAAGTATTGTCATACCTGTAAAGTATTGTCATTCCTGTAAAGTATTGTCATACCCGTATGGCATTGTCATACCTTTACAGTATTATCATACCTTTACAGCAACTAACAACGTGTTTACCTGAGACATGAACATCGGGTGGTGCATGTAGTACCGGCTTGCGTAAAATCCAGGGTAGGAATACATGATGGAAAAATACAACAAATCACTCCATCACAAGAAAATAACACCAATCGATTTACAAGCATCAAGGTCTCATCAAGGAAGATGTTATTGTCATTATTTCCTAACTCTGTTAACCTTTATCATATCCTCACAAGGGGATGACGATATCACATATATACCATAGTCCCACTGTTTCAATATACACCAAGTTTATCCTCAACTTTCACACAGAACAATCCCTCCACATGAAGAATCAAGAATCCATCCTTCCGTAAAAGACCTGTAAACAATCTGGCCTCAAGATGCTCCAGAAAAGCCCTGCTATCTAGGCAAGGAATAATATGTCAACAACATTCAGGTTGCCAAAGTAATAATATAACACTGGGAGGAAAAAAGAGTGTCGCCTGTAGATCATCTCGATCCTTCTGCAGATTAGTATCAGTCAAAATCCAGAAAACATTCACGGCACAAATCCTACTGTCTCATCCCTTGAACATTTTGAAAGAGCTTGAACTTCTAATACGCAAAAAGCGCCACGACCAAAATAGAGATTAAGATCGCAAAGAAATCCTCCTCTTCATCGATAATGGCAACCCTCAGTGCAGACACACAGATAGCTGGTTGGATATAGAGGGAAGGAATCGTGGTAACTTGGTCGAACGCTTCTCGATAACCAGTAACTCTCCTGAGACGAGACATGGAGTGGTGCTTAACTTTTCACGAACTAACACACATCGTACAGATCAGTAACCAAAAATATTTATCAATTAAAACCACATGTGCCTGTCCCCAACATGTGCTTGCCACACCCCCTAATTTGCATATTCCCTGTGGGTGGGGCTGTGTTCGCAGCACCGACTGACATATGTTTGGCGTTGTGGGTTACAAATTAGGAAAACATGTTGCGACGTTTTTTTCCACCAATTTTCTTTTTCGGCCAGCAGATTTCATTAGCCTGATTACAGCCCAAAATTTGTTTGTTTTTTATTATTCCCGAATTTGTTGTGACAGACTTGATCACTAGCACTGCTTTAATAATCAGAACCATTTCGTCAAGTCTCAAGACGACATTTTTAAAACTTAAAAATAGGCTGCAGACGGAATAAATATTCCATTTATTTGTTTTTATTCCTTTGAATTAGTTGTCACAGACTCGAACAAAATTACCCTGAGAACATTTCTAAGATGTATGACAAATCTCAAGGGGATATTTTCAATACAGTAAAAGTGCACACTGAATAAACACTGTATTATCTCTCAAAAAAATGTCTGACAAACAACAATCAAATCAGGTTTCTTTGGACTTTTGAATCAGACTGTCTAAGGGAGGCTACTCCTGCATCCTTATGGCAACAAAGCCCAGAGATTAAAAGGGTGATACGGTCCTTGTCCCTCTATAGTAGTATGATGGTCATATTACTTCTTTTTCTACCTTATTCCTCCCCTTTAAGAATAGACAGCAAACACAACCAATATGTTCTTTAAACCCCGAGATCAAACCTTCCTCTTGATCAGATTAATGACAAGCGAGCATCACTCCCAACTTTGTGATTCTTGGATTCAAAAACCCATTTCTCCTTCAACAAATATTTTCTTATAAATTTTAAGATCAGAGCTCTTCAGTCCGCCGTCCCGTGCACTAATTAGCCGGAATCTAGTCACTTGACGCGACAACTAATTTATCTGAAATGTCCCGAGTCGACATATCCCAAAATCACAAAGGAAGTGAAACATCGTATCCTTCCGCCTCAGCCATACCACAACGTAGTCCCAAACCAAACGAATATCATTAATTACTCCCTTTGGGATTCTTCACAACTGGGATCCCGTCAAAAAATTTCTGCTACAGTTATGGCCGTTTCTCTTTCCCGACGCTGTTGTCTGCCTACGTAATTATACCGTGCTTCAAGCCGGGTTTAACACCTGCGCCCAAAACTTGAACGCATACCTAGAACGGGCAGAGCAATTAGAGCAGTGAGTAGTAGCACGCGTACGTCTAATAGTGCCGCAGGACTCGCGCTAAAAGGCAGGTATACACATTTGCCATCTGAGGCCCCCATTTCACCAGTAAATACAACGAAAAATGAAAACGGACTCGGCTAATTCTACAAAATGACATATGGTTAAAGGATGACATTTTCCTCAAATCATCCAAGTGGTTAAGCCAATTAGTCCTGTAATGTTTTTTTCCGTCTTTGCGTCAAAGATTCCAAAGTAGCGATGTTACTCTTAGCAAAGTACAGCAAAAGTATTTAAGTGCGGGGGAATATACGTTCGCATAAAGCCACATCAAAGACTGTGACAAGGTAAGTTGGTGCCACATGTGGCAGACTCGGATTCAAAGAAAAACGATTTTGCCATTTTCTTCCATGTGAATCAGTAGGTCTGAGCTTAATAGAACCTTGATAAGATGAATCACCTCATCGGGCTCCGAACTGATATGTTGTGGCACATTGTTACACAACAGACGCAGTAGGGAACTATCAAATGATAATCCCCACAATGATTTCAGATAAAATCTCAATATTACTAAAAGATAACTGTATCAAAATATATAACAATTTCATCTGAGCAATATTGTTTTCCATGAAACGGTGAAGATGGTCTTATGATGGAACCATAATCTTGCCCAGGAGTAAATGAGTTGGACACTATTTCCCAGCGGTCAGTTAAGGATGCAGCCGAGGGTGTCACTGGTATGAGGGGTGGTGAAATGGGGTTTAACATCGCATTCAAGATGTTTTGCTCTTACATAGCGACGTGCAAGACAGACACTATGAAAACATTTCTTTAAAATTATGGTAATTTTTCTTCTTCAAAAGAACCTTCCCTCTGCTGTAGAATCAAGAAACTAGACTTGAATCTAGACTTGCCTAGGCTTTTAGTAATTTTTAGAATAAAATTATATACATATATTCCAGAGTGATGGCGCTGGACTAAGCAATGTGCCCCCTTTACTATGATTTCAATCACAAAAAATGGACTTTGATGTATACCAATGACCAGGATCCAACCCAGGTCATTGGAGTGACAAGATTATTGCACTTGTATACACGTGTGCTGTCTTTTACTCGCCAGGACTAAAGCCGATTTTATAGTGCAAGCCCACTGAGATACCATGCTGCAGTTTAACATGGATACCCCACTCGGACACAGGCCAATCAGTCCTTGTTTTAGATGTTGCCTTGTTTGGGGCTGAGTAAACCAACAGAATATCCTTAACTTATAATCATCAACAGGATCCATCTAATTATAGTATGCTTACCTGTTGTACTGGACCTTCTCGGGACGAATAACTAGACCGGTAATCAGAACTCTTGTCTGAAAAGAAAATGTTTCCAATCATAGTGAGTATATGAGTGAATATGGTTTTAGAAATATTCCAGCAATATAACAGCGGGGGACACCAGGATGTGCTTCACACACTGTACCCATGCGGGGAATCGAACCCAGGTCTAGGGCATAACGAGCGAACGCCTCAACCACAAGGCTACCCCACCGCCCCTCGTAAGTGAGTGTAGCCAACATAACAGTATTTCAGTTACATGACAGCTTTTAAACCCTACACAAGTTAAATTAGGTTGGTTAGGTTTCTGGCGTGCCAAAGGGACGCAACTCTGCACAGCGAATCGCGGCGCCTTAGACGACTGGGCCACTCGTGACCCCATACGATATAGCTACTGGGCACTTAGATACCCTTCTGTGCTGCTGCTGGTCTATAAAACTTGTGTAATACATACAGGAAACTACGGACTGTGAACTATCTTTGGGGTCTTGTACAGGGGCGCTTTTTACAATTACTTACACAAGGTCTGAAGTTGGTCGGGGGCTCTTGCTGATGCAGGGTGCTTTTTATGGTGAATGTGGTAATCATCTACCACATAAGGTCAAATAAAAATAATATTGTAGTTCCGATTGCTCCTAATTTATCAAAAGGGAAAAGGTAGACTTTATTTAAAACCTTGTGACTGTGCTGGCGAACTATTAGTCATTTGGTATATAGTTTCATGTGTGCTTTTAAACAGTGAATAACAGTGAAAGAAAATGTTAGGGTTGACAGTTTGGTACTGCAGATGGGAATATTACTGAATGCCATTGAAGGTGATATTCATGTCTGTAGCTACAGAAAACATAAATGGCAAAAGTGGCAAAAATGTCGGAAAGAAGAAATAGACTTCATTTGAAATGTGACATTTGAAAACAGGAGCCTTCCAACAACCCAAGTCCCGATTGTCCGTATACTCACTCATCAATGTCGGCATATCACTGTTATTCATAAAAGGCATATTTTCCCCACTGTGTTGACCATTATAATTTTGTCCATCATACATCTGAAAAATAACGACATTAGAATTAAAACTAAAATAAATCAATGGGCATAATGACATGACAATCAAGACGACATGACATGACAATCAAGTTGATATCCCAGATAAATTGACATCACAATCAAGTTGACATGACAATCACAAAAAAGGTGATATAAAAAATACCATGACAACTTCTAAGCAATTTTGTTTAATATCATGAACCTTGACAATTAATTTATGAAGTAATATTTAGACTTGTTTGTCCAAAAATAAAATTTTACTTTCTCAAATTCACATGTAATTTGAATCAAATTAGCATTAATGAAATTTGAGAACTGATTGACAAAATTGTGTAAAATAGACAATTTAATAATTCTCCCAATACCAAATAGACATCTGATAAACAAATCCACAAAATTATTTAGGTTTCTTCAAAACTTAACCTCTGAAAGAGAATTCACACCAGAGCTCTGCTGCAAAGCAAGACAAAGCAATAATCCTGAAAGAGTTACCCCCCTTGGATTGCAGCCCTCGCGCTTGGCTGACGACTCCTGCCAGTGGAGATACCAAAACACAAAGTTTCAGAGTTTATCACTTTTATTCCACGAAATGGAATCAATTTTGCCATTCTTTTTTCACAGAACAAGACTATGAATACTAATTGCCAAAGCTACTTCAAAATGGTGTATCATCTTCGACTTGCTGTACAGTATAAGGAGATCTTTATATACAGATGTCAACATAACCAAACACATGTCTGCTCATATATACTTATTTAGGTTACATTCAAATTGTCTGTGGATAAAACTAATTTTTTTATAGTAGTGAGTTGACGAGTTTTGGTTTAACACCACTTTGAACATTATTCCAGTACTGTTGTGTCAGCATAATGTGGCAGGATAGCCCGAAGAGATGCAGGTTTTAGAGGTTTACCACTTCAGCAAAACTGACAAGCACGGGTATGGTGCTGACAAAACTAGAAACATAACCGGATTTCGGCCCCACAAAGTTTCTGGCATGCCTAAGGGACACAAACTGTGATGCCTTAGACGGGGCCACCCTAGCCCCTTTAAGTGGGACGAGACAATCTGCAGAATAACATCATATATAGCCACACCGATCAACACAATAGTCCAATGTAAAACATTTTTGCTATATCATGGTAGCCTTTCAATGGTCAAGTCTGAACCAGACAATCCAGTGATTGATATTATGAGCACCGCCCCACTCCATCAGGGTACGATGACATGCAATCCATGCCTGTCCACACAATCCACTTACACCTTGTTAGACCAGCATAGGCTGCTGAGTGATTGAGTGAGTGAGTATGGTTTTACGCCGCTTTTAGCAATATTCCAGCAGAACTTCCATCCCAGGTTATAAATATTATTAAACATGGCGCAGTGACCTACTGTCGGCTGACACCGACCTATGCATAACCTTCGTGTTGTCGAGTAGTTTCAGGTCAATATCTACCTGAATATGATATTATTCAGACGAGTTGACCTACTTTGGGGTGGGGGAACAGATTGATGTTATAAGTCCTCGACTCGTGTCATGTTACAGATTTATTCCTACAACTCAAAGAATTAAAAGAACACCCGATTCTATCATATAACTATAGTTAATCTGTCATGCTATGAAATTACAGAAAACTCCACCCAATTCTTTCACATTACTACAGTAATCTGTCCTGCCGTGAATTTTTTTTCTAAAAAACCACTGATTCTTTCACATTACTACAGTAATCTGTCCTGCCATGAATTTTTTCTAAAAAAACACTGATTCTTTCACATTACTACAGTAATCTGTCCTGCCGTGAATTTTTTTTCTAAAAAAACACTGATTCTTTCACATTACTACAGTAATCTGTCCTGCCGTGAAATTTTTAAAAAAAACCCCACTGATTCCTTCACATTACTACAATAATCTGTCCTGCCGTGAAATTTTAAAAAAACCCACCTGATTCCTTCACATTACTATAGTAAACTGTCCTGCCTTGAAATATATATAAAAAAAAAAACCTGATTCCTTCACATTACTAAAGTAAACTGTCCTGCCGTGAATTTTTTTTTAAAAACCCACTGATTCCTTCACATTACTATAGTAAACTGTCCTGCCTTGAAATATATTAAAAAAAACACCTGATTCCTTCAAATTACTATAGTAAACTGTCCTGCCGTGAAATTTAAAAAAAACCCACTGATTCTTTTACATTACTATAGTGAATCTTTCATGCCGTGGTAATCTGTAATTCACCCCAAAGTGAATGGGCACTCGGAATGAGATGGTAACGTGACTGTCAACCTTCTAGCACCTCACAGGTAGCTGGGATTGTATACTCCCCAGGGAGCTGTGAACATGGAGTTCACACTGATCCAGTGACTGGGGTAATCAGAACATTGCGCCATGAACATATAGAGAATTCCTATCAGTACCGGCTATGATGCTGGGCCATTCTACAGTTTTATGTACTTACTCGAGATTCATATCCAGGGCCTTGCTGACCACCGGGCCCCCAGTTACCTCCCTCCTCCATTCCTGCAACAAAAACAATATCATACATAAATAAATGTCTGCCAATATTTAATGAGTGAGTTTGTTTTAACGCCACTTCGAACAGTATTTCAGTGATATCATGGCATGTCACATCTGTGTGGGAGGAAAGCCCAGTTACTGCTGGTGGAAACAAGTTACTGAACAAAGGATCATAATCTGGGCAAATCTGGGATTCGGAGCAATGATCAGCGGATCCTGGCATGACTAAGGGAGGTAACTCCGCAGAGTAAATTACATGCCCTAAGATGGGCCACTTGTGCCTGTCTGAAAACAGAATACAATCACTGCATATATAAAACAACATGAAGCACCAGATTCATTGTCCCACACAAGCATTAAAAAAAACAAATAATTCCTCACCCCTAAAATTGGTATTTTGTTTACAAACAATACTAATGTTTGCATATATTCACTGCCTTCATTATATTCGCATAAACTTGATTTACATGGACAATTTTTTTAACTTACAAATATTATATTTTAAAACCTAAATACAAATGCCTATTTCTCCGAATTGCTTGCTAAAGCATGAATGTAATCATCAAATCAGCACCATTCCATACAATCTGCAATACACCGGAGAAAGGCTGGCCAAACTTGTGGCAGTCCCACTGTAGCTCAAGTTGTGACCTCGATACCATTATCAAATAGTCACTACAAGAAACAAGGACTATATGCTAATTCAAGTACAAACACATAAGTAATCTTGACCAAAAAGAATAAATAAAAAAATGAACCCAAATCGTCTTGAATGATTTGGCAAGTCTAGATTGCCTCACCTCCAGAAATGAGCATTGTTCTGGGATTCATTTGGATCATGTTCTTTATTTTGTAGATATATACATTCTTAAATAGGATAACTTTATCTCTGGGTCTAAATTAAAGTTCCAGAGATAAAGTTGTCCAAAACAGACCCTGAAACAAATTATCCCAAACTCCAAAGCAATAATACGATATCAAGTCTATTGGCTCTTTTCGAAATACCAAAAATATATTTACATCAAAATTTTTTTATCCGAACTTCATTCAAGAACTAAATGTTAGTTCTAACCTAAAATAATTTCACCAGACTGGCTTGGAACAAGTGGCCGAAGTCTCAGTCTTCTGAGGAAACTGTCAATGACAGCCATTACAGTTATCTGTGCTTTGAATGGCAAGGCTCCGGATGACCGCTACTATCAAATCTATGGTAGTGCGATAGCAGCTCAATGGTCCAGTAATGACCTCATAAAGGACAGATTGGCACAACTAGAGGGCATGGCTCGATGATTATAGGGGCGATCTCATATGCGGAATGTGTCCGGAAAGGTCGAGACCTGACCTCTAAGGTGCCATCAACAGCCATTTTGCCCTGAGCTACACACTGAACAGGAAGTGAATGAAGAGATGGGAGAATGGAGGGAAATATCGGTGGCTATTTGGTGAGCAGGGCAATTGTCCCGCCATCAACAGGGACAAGAGGGAAGGCTGTTATTTCTAAGTCCACTGTGACAGAAAGTATGGATGCATAGTGGTGCCATGCTAGGATGGATGTTGTTTTAATCGTAAGTGTGAGAAAAAGTATGGCAACAAGAAGGTGCCATTTTAGGATTGCCATTGTCTAAAATTTAACTGTTAGAGAAAGTATGGCGACATGGAAGTGCCATTTGAGCACTGCTATTGTTTTTATTAGCATAGTGAGAGAAAGTAAGGAAACATGTTGGTGCCATTATTTTCATTTTATCTGTGAAAGTATGGAAACATTCAAGTGCCATTCTGGAATAGCTGTTGTTATCAAAATGAATATCCAAATATTTTCACAATCAACCAAGAAATATATGCAATTGTACCCTCCTAATCACAAAGCCACTCCAACCCAATGTCATGTTCTTCCTATATCTAATGATCAAGAAGACTAAAAAAATTAAGGTATCCTTGACAATTCAAATTGGAAACTTTCATTCCACTAAATTGAACACGAAGGTTTCGCTGAAAATATTTCCCATATCATGCTGAACATTCAAAACTGATACTGTAAATTATGACGGTGTCCTAACCTAAAAATAGCCATGATTAAAATAATTAGTTCTGAAGAGTGGCTTGCTGATCAAGCAAGCACAATATGACAGGGTCCACTAGCTGGGGTGAAAATTGAAAAATCCCCCACAGTCTTCCCAATCTCTCTGGGGCTACGATTCAATTAACAAGCAAAGTAATCAACTACATTTTGTGAATTCCGGACAAATTGTCCGGCGTCCGACGACACACTGGGATCGATCAGTGACTTGGCAGAACAATTCCGAAACAATTAAGTCATAATGGAAAGAAAATCTCGCGATTATGTTCGTAATAACAAATTTCAAGGAGCGGGTGTCTGCAGCGGGCACGTTGATCGTGTTTATTTGCGACTCATCGACGGAGTGCCGACACCACAATTATGTTGTGATCAAAGCAGCGGCTGCTGTAATTCGTAGCCAGACAAAGACTCTAACCTTTCCAAGACCCAAAATATCTGACATCGTTATTCGGATACAATTTTTCTGAATTTCATTACCCGAAAAGAGATAAATCGAGTGGAATTTGGCAGTCATCCACTTGAACTCTTCAGTTGGAAGGTGTGGACTATTTCATCACACAAAAATTAATTATTATTTTTTTACAAATTGTCTGTTCATTAATAAAGCACAGTGAATGAAATTATTGTTTAAATTTCTGAATTATATCTGACAAGGTACTCAATGAAATAGACACGATTTATTTGGATTAAATACAATAATCCCCTCCCTTAAACAAAGTACCATTCCATGTGTGTGATAATGCTTATTGCATGTGTATGATATTATTGTTTATTCTATTTGTGATATTAAATATTTTATATGAAGATGACTGTTTATTCCATGTATGTGAAACTGTTATGTCATGTGTATGATATTGTTTATATCGTGTGTAATCCAATTGTTTACTTCCTGTGTCATATAATTGTATATTCCATGTGTGTGAAACTGTTATTTCATGTGTATGATATTGTTTATATTGTGTGTAATACAATTGTTTACTTCATGTGTGATATAATTGTTTATTTCATGTGTTGATAGGAATGCTGATGTTATGTGTGTGATACAATTGTGTATCTTGTGAGGGATATATTTGTTTATTTCATGAGTGGGATAAAATTATTTATGTACATGTCTTAGCTTGACAATATTGCAATCTGTCTTTAATGGTCCCACAGCTACTCCAAATAGGACAAAACAATATCTGCCGAGGAATCCCTGATAAAGACAAGCCTCAAGCCAGGGGAGGGGGACTCACTCAGTCTCCACAACCCATACAGGACAAGAGAAAGGTCAATTCTGACCAGGAATCTAAACAAGACACAAACATGTACACAGGTCCTTCTTGAAAAGGATTCATCGTGGGGCACTAAGAATCTATTCACCCCTGGACAAAATCACAACAGGCCAGCCCAGACACACACCCACCCCCAGGCCATAACAGCAGGTGTGTGTTGACACAAGGGGTCACATGACTGTCACAGTTACTCCTGATTGTGTGATCTGCCTGGGGCAGACCCCAATCACAGCCACATAAGTATATATATGTACAGGGATTTATCAGGCCAGTGTTCGTCCCCCAAGTCGGAAGCTAATGTCAGTCAAAATTCCCAATTAAAGCATTCCCTAGTCATGTTAATATAGTTGTATCTAATGTGATGGCATGGTCAGTTCAACTTTTACTTCACTGACGTCAGCATCAATAGAGAGGAAGAATCTTTGAAGCTTAGGTCTACATTATTGAATGTTTGTTTGTTGTTTAATGCTGCACACGGCAATATTCCAGCTATATGACGGCGGTTTGTAAATAATCGAGTCTGGACATCATGAGCATAGATCTACGTAATTGGGATATGATGACATGCATCAACCAAGTCAGGGAGCCTGACCACCCAATCCCGTTAGGCGCCTTTTACGGCAAGCATGGGATGCTGAAGACCTATTCTACATACATATATAACTTTTGGAGGGGGATACGGGTGGAAGTATTTCCCATTATTGAATGTAATGTTCATATACAATGCTTAAAAAACTAGGAACAGGAACTATTTAAAAATCCCAATTTTAACAAAAGAATTTCACAATTTGCTTGCCAAGGGCTCTTATTTTGGTATCTTAACCAGCATCATCATCTACATCACCAACATGGCTAGCCCCGACCGTGGCAGATTCAATCCCTTTCAGTCAGCAGATTACATTTGAAGAGTGAAACCCAGAATTTGTTTAAAGATTTTAGGAATGAAATGTTCAGAAAGCTTTCAATTAGGATTTCTGGAGACATGTCGTAGAAAGGTCAATGAGTACACGATCAATGGTGAGCTTCACAAAAACACAAACAAGATCTAACATTATCAGATCACTCTTCCCAAGTTTGATCTGCATAATAAGCCTAGAAAAGGATTAAATATGCTCAACAAATAGGTCAAGGGTCATCAAGTCCACTCTATTTACATATTTTCTCCCTTTATAGGACAACAGGTATACCTTAAAGGATAATAGGTCAACCTCAGAATAACAGGTATGCATGTCGTATTCATACGAAGAAACTGTACAAATCGACAACACACATGGAGTACGGCTAGACTGTAGGTCAATGAGTTCATCTTTCTGTCTTTCATCCATAAATGAGCCAGAGAAAATTTCAAAAGTATACGACAAACATACCTGTTCATATCCAATTACCTGCCCAATGAAACCCCATCATGAAATTCTACACCTACGTAGGTCATTCAGTGCACATGATGACAAACCGATATTTCAGAAGCAGTGAAGTGGACAGGTCTATTGAGACAACTGAAATAACGCCCACGTCTCTCCCCACTTCCTTCACATCATGTCACGAGTTGCATCTACCGAGAAAGTATTTTCATTTTCAAGCCCCTCCCTACACAGTACACAGGAATAATTGTCTCATTCACAAACACACAATTCATAGTTTCCCCTTAACAT